GGTGGCGCATGCCTACAGTCCCAGCTACTCGGGAGGCTGAGGCAGGAGAATTGTTTGAACCCTGGAGGCGGAAATTGTAGTGAGCTGAGATCATGCCAGTGCACTTGCCTGGGTGACAGTGCGAGACTCCATCTCAAAAAAAAAAAAAAAAAAAAATCAGAATCCAAGACTTGTCCAGAGTTACATAGCTACTGCTCATTAGAGGAGTGACTGGGATCTAAAGTGCCTCTGGGACTCCTAGAAGGAAAACTACTCCAAAGGTCTTTATTTTCATTTCTGATAGCACTAGATGGAGGGGTGATTTAAATGTTTGTAATTATAAAATTCTCACTAGGCTTTTGAATTTAAGCATACTTGTATCACTGCTTTTATTTCCCTAGGAAACATTCCTACTTAATGGTTGGGAACCTGTCACTTAAAATCCTAGGGAATAGTAATGAGTAAGAGGTGAATACAAGTGATCGTGAGCCCTTTCAGGGTTGGCTTTGAACTACAGGTTGATTGATGATATGGAAGCTGAGATGGCTTAGCTTGTTTTGAGGAATGTAGATGTTATCAGACAATATATATTTGAAATCTATCATTGAGGCTTACTACTTGGGAAGTACCAGTCCACTACCTACTGCTTAAAAGACAAGGGAAGGTCATATGAACAACACCTGCCCTTTGGGAGAGGCACACATGCCACAGTTGATCAAGGCAGCATGGAGTTCTTAAACAGCCTGGGCCTCTGTGACCTGCCTATAAGGACTTCTAGCGGCATTCCTACCTACCTTTTTATTATAAAGCAATTTCCAAAGCAAAGAATAAGATGAACACTCAAACACCCATTGCCCAGACTTAACAACTGTTTACTATATTTATTTCATCTGTTTATTTTATTTTTTGCTGAAGTTTAAAGTAAATTCATGAAATTTTACTCATAAATATTTGAGTATGCATCTCTTTAAAAGAGGACAATTCTGTGGGACTAGGTATGAAAGGAAAAAAGCAAAGAGGACATTTTATCATAACCATAATACCTTTATCATGCACAACAAGATTAATAGTTATTATTTATTTATTTATTTAGAGACAGAATCTTGCTCTGTTGCCCAGGCTGGAGTACAATGGCATGATCTCAACTCACTGCAACCTCCACCTCCTAGGTTCAAGTGACTCTCCTGCCTCAGCCTCCTGAGTAGCTGGGATTACAGGCGTGAACCACCACATCCAGCTAATTTTCATATTTTTAGTAGAAATGGGGTTTTTACCGTGTTGGCTTGGCTGCTCTCAAATTTCTGACCCCAGGTGATCCACCTGCCTCAGCCTCCCAAAGTGCTGGGTTTACAGGCATGAGCCACCGCGCCTGGACAGTAATTTCTTAATATCACCTAGTCCACATTTATATTTTCCCAATTGTCCAAAAAACATTTTTTAGAATGAGTTTGTTCAACCCAGGAATTAATCAAGGACTATGCTATTCTCAGTTGTATGTCTCTTAAGCTTCCTTTAATCCAGTACAGTCCTCCTTCCCCTTTTTTATTACTTGATATATTGATTGGTAAAAACAGTAACGTGTAAGATTGGTTATCCTGGGCCCGGTGTGGTGGCTCACGCCTGTAATCCCAACACTTTGGGAGGCCAAGGCAGGCAGATCAGTTCAAGGTCGGCCTGACCAACATGGCGAAACCCTGTCTCTACTAAAAATACAAAAATTAGCCAGGCATGGTAGTGCGCACCTGTAGTCCAGCTACTCCGGAGGCTGAGGCACGAGAATCACTTGAACCCAGGGGGTGGAGTTTGCAGTAAGCCAAGACTGCACCATTGCACTCCAGGCTGGGCAACAGAGTGAGACCCTATCTATAAGAAAAAAGAAGGTTAACCTATAAAATGCTCCATTTTCTAGATTTGTATATTTTTCTTCCCCTTGTGATTTTGCCTAACTTGTTCCTTTAGCCTTTCAACTTCCTATAAACTTGACTTTAGATCTAAAGAGTTGAATAGATTCAAGTTAAATATTTTGGCCAGAATAATCCATAGGTGATGTGGAGTATGAGGTTTAATTGTATAACAGTACATGTTAACAGGACAGTTTCATTGTCATAACCAAGGCATTGGTACACCAGCATGCTTAGTGAAGCCTGACATCAGTGACAGTGGATGGAGATGATCTGCCCACATGGAAATGGAAAATAAATCACGTCCTTTCTCTAGGATTCAACTCAGTTTCCTTATTTTATTTATTTATTTATTTAGAGGTGGAGTCTTGCTCTGTCATCCAGGCTGGAGTGCAGTGGTGCAGTCTCAGCCCACTGCAACTGTCGCCTCCCAGGTTCAAGTGATTCTTCTGCCTCAGCCTCCAAGTAGCTGGGATTACAGGTGCCTGCCACCATGTCCAGCTAATTTTTGTCTTTTTTTAGTAGAGACAGAGTTTCACCATGTTGGCCAGATTGGCCTTGAACTCCTGACCTCAAGTGATCCACCTACCTCAGCCTCCCAAAGTGCTGGGATTATAGGCATGAGCCACCTCGCCCAGCCAGTTCCCTTACTTTAAAGGGAATAATTGACTTAGGTTATTTTGAAGGTCTCAAGTTTCAGATCTCATGATTCTATAAATTATACCAAGATCAGGAGAGGGTTATGCAGAGAAAAGCTGAGACAAATGGAAAACATTAAAGACTAAATCTTAGGCAAGAAGAGACAGTAATTAGATGAAGTTGGATTACAGCCATTCCCAAGTGGTGCCACTTTCCCAGCAAAATCTAACAGAATAGTTGTCAGTTTTGGTTCTTGAAATTGTAAAGAATTTTATTTTGTGCATAACATAGAGAGACCTATATAAGTTGCGTGTTGGTCTTTTCCATTTATTTTGTGCCCCTCTTAGCAAATGCTTCTCAACGCGATCCATTCAGATTTTTTTTTCTGACCGACCTGATCGAAAAGACTAAAGCAATATTTATCAAAGTGTCTTCAGGCCACTAACATGAGAATCACATAGGGTTACTTGAAGTGTTAAAATACAAATTTCTAGAGTCTCTGTCTAGAACTGTAGAATCAGAATCTCTGGGAGTGGGCCACTGAAACCCACATTTTAACAACTACTCATGGTATTCTGATGCACACCACAGTTTGGCCTGTAGCAGTGGGTGGCTTGAAGGGCCATAGCTCGAGGTGCCAAGTTGGGGTAGTGCCTATAGGTCTTGCAACACTTTGAGTCCTCCTCTATTTCTTCTGCCCTCCTACAGTGCACCGAGCAGCCCTGGCCTGCGGCAGTGAGTTCTTTGGGGCCATGCTCCTGAGCGGGATGAGGGAATCCAAGGGCACAGAGGTGTCTCTGCGAACCATCTCCACCCGGGACCTGCAACTCCTTGTCTCTTTTGCTTACTCTGGAGTTGTGCGGGCAAGGTGGCCAGGACTCCTGAGAGCTGCTCAGGCTGCTCTGCAGTACCAGAGCTCTTCCTGCCTGGATTTGTGTCAGAAAGGCTTGGCACAGGGCCTCAGCCCCGCCCGTTGCCTGGCCCTGTTCCCCATGGCGGAAGCCCCTGGGTTGGAGAGGCTCTGGAGCAAAGCCCGTCACTACCTCCTCACCCACCTGCCTGCTGTAGCCTTGTGCCGTGCTTTCCCTTCTTTACCAGCTGCCTGCTTGGCTGAGCTTCTGGATAGTGATGAGCTCCATGTGCAGGAGGAGTTCGAGGCCTTTGTGGCTGCACGGTGTTGGCTAGCTGCCAACCCCGAGACCCAGGAGTCAGAGGCCAAGGCCCTGCTGCGATGCGTCCGCTTTGGCCGCATGTCCACCAGGGAGCTGCGAAGGGTGCGGGCAGCCGGGCTACCTCCACCCCTGACCCCAGATCTGTTGCACCAGCTGATGGTAGAGGCTGATGTTCCAGGCCAAGAGAGACGGAGGGAGCCTGACCGGGCACTGGTAGTGATTGGCGGGGATGGGCTGAGACCAGACATGGCCCTAAGACAACCATCCCAAGCAGTGTGGTGGGCCCGAGCCTTCCGCTGTGGCATCGGACTTGTACGAACTGTGGAGTGGGGACAGCTGCCTGCCCTGCCTGCCCCAGGACGCTTCCGGCATGGGGCCGCGAGCCTGGCAGGAAGTGAACTCTATGTGTGTGGGGGACAAGATTTCTACAGTCACTCCAACACCCTGGCTTCAACTCTCAGGTATGAGCTTCTAAGAGTGGGCAGGATGTGGTAGGCCCCAAGGTGGGCAGGGAGAGAAATTGCTGGCCTAGCCAACCACACAGAGTCACTCTTCTTGCCTACGTCCAGGTGGGAGCCCAATCAAGAGGACTGGGAGGAAATGGCTCCTTTGTCCCAGGCTCGAAGCTTTTTCCCCTTGGTGGCACTAGATGGACAACTTTATGCCCTAGGTGGAAGACAAAATGGTGTTGCCCTGGACTCTGTGGAGACCTACAACCCTGAGCTCGATGTCTGGAGGTGAGCAGGCAAGGGATAGATTAGGAGACTTGGAATAGAAGGAGAGTTGAAGATGCTAGTTGCCTTATCTTGTCCTGTTTTCCCTTAGGCCAGCACCTGCACTTCCAGCACCATGTTTTGCCCACGCAGCTGCCATTTTGGAGGGCCGATTGTATGTGAGCGGTGGCTGTGGTGGGACTGGCCAATACCTGGCCTCACTGCTGCACTACGACCCCAAACTTGAGAAGCCAGGGACATTTCTGAGCCCTATGGGGGTACCTCGGGCTGGCCATGTCATGGCTGCACTGGGTGGGCGGTTGTATGTGGCAGGTGGGCTGGGTGAGACTGGGGACCTGCTGAGTTTTGAGGCCTATGAACTAAGGACTGATAGCTGGACTCACCTGGCACCTCTACCTTCCCCCCATGTGGGGGCTGCAGGTGCTGTGCTGCAGGGGGAGCTGCTGGTGCTGGGGGGCTACAGTCACCGTACTTATGCCCTCTCCCACCTTATCCATGCCTACTCTCCCGGCCTGGGCCGATGGCTTTGCCTGGGAACTCTGCCAAGGCCCCGGGCTGAGATGCCTGCCTGCATCCTGACACTGCCCACTGTGCAGCACACAGCTTTGGTTCCCAACCCGCACCAAACCAAGCCTGCCGGGTGAAGAGGGAGCAACAGTGTATGGGGGAGGAAGGCGTAAGAAATCATCTGGGAGAAGGACAGAGATCATGGGAGAGAAAGGAAGGTTTTATTCTTGGCAGTAGTTTATTCTCATGCTGTGCATTGTAAACTGCTTTTGTACGTTTGATCTCCATTGAGGAAATGGTGGTTCCAGAACTCCCGGGGAAAGCATATTGGGGAAGGGGAGGCAGCTGAATATCCCGGTAAGGAAAGGAGAGCCAGGAGCAACTCCACAAGGCTGAGGGATTCTTGGGAGGGAAAGTGCATCTGGTTGGAAAGAGAGTTGAGAAGCTTCAGTAGTCAAAGTGTAGAGATCATGAGAGGACAGTTGGGTAAATGGTTCTGACCCATGGATCAAGGGAAAAATGCAGAATGGCCATCCATGAAAGAGTTTGAGGAATGTGGGAGGAAGGACTGTAAATCATTCAGCGCTCTTTTTTCCCCAGAACTTGCTCCTTTCTCCTCTCCCATCCCTGGGATGCCTAACCCTTCTTAACAATATTCTTTCTCAGGTAATTTTGTAGCCCTGGTCTAGTGTTTCCTAGCTGAGACACCACAGGCCGCCCCTGAGAGCCTCTTGGTTTCCTTCTGAGGCAAAAGCTCCCACCTGGACATGGATGGCACAGCAGCCTGAGAGGCCTGATGGGTCCTCCAGGGCCATGCGACAGGAGTGGTGTGTGGGGAAGATGAGGGGGGCAGAGGACAAGTGGGGAGAGGCCCACAGCGGAAAACATGATCTGAGATTTGAGGAGATGGGATGGAAGAAGTCAGAATGCTGTCTGGCTTCTTGCTTTCCCTTTGGGCAATTTGAGGAATCAGGAGTGAAAACGAGACCATTGTTGTGTGAGATCTCAAGTGGTGAGAGGATGTGGCAGAGAGAAGAGTGAGAAGCAGACAAGACTCAGGAAAGTCATTTCCCCCTTTCAGTCCCTTTTCCCCCGAGTTATTTTTAAATTCATTTCCCTTTTTCTTGGCCAGGGAAGGTGGTCAGATGCATCCTCTTTCTCTCTTCCTCCATCTTGCTCTCCCCACTATCCCTCGTTTTTTTTTTCTTTCTTTCTCCCTCACACAGTTATTAATCACCTACTTTGTGGCAGGCACTGTAGGAGGCACCAAGGTCACAGAGCCCCTGACCAGCAGATAGACGTAAACAAATACAAGTTTTGAGTGGACTTAGACATATGGACAAGTCTTGTGAGAGCCCAGAGGATGGAGCAGGGAACTCTGCCCAGAAGGGCTTCTGTTAGGGAAGGTGTCATCCGATGAGTGTATTTTGAACTGGATCTTAAAGGCTGCCTGAAGTCTCAGAAGGGGAAATGCATTCGAAACACAGAGAAGTGAGGCATGCCGTACCCTGTTTCTCCATAGCAAAGGGGAAGTTGGTATTCCAGAGGTTCTTCAGATAATTCTGCTGCTTTTGCCACCTAGCCTGTTCTCTGGAGCCTTCCTGAGGATAATGGCTTTCACTTAATGACTTTATATTCCCCCACTGTACCACTCACCTGTATCCTTCTTGTCTGCTATTTTCATTTCTGCAGCCTGGACAGCTGAGAGCAAAAAAGGGTCAGGTTTTTATGTGTAGGTTGATTTTCTATTACCATTGTTTATTAAGATTTTCATGTTTCTAAGAGTGATGATGGAGCCTCCCTTGTACCCTTCTTCATTCTGGCCCCAGAAGTACTCGACATGCATTTTATTTATTTATTTGTAGATTTTGTTATTTTAGTAAGGATTTTTCTGTGTCTCTATTTAAGCTAGACTAGGAATGTAGTCGCAAATGAGAAAGGGTAAGTAGGACGTCTAAGAGAAAAGAAAAGGAAGAAGGAAGAAAGGGAAGAAGGAAATTGAAGGAGATGAGAAGCTATAATAATTGGATGAACTTCTATGAACATTTTTTTGTGATTTGTACCTAAAGACAGGCTTAAATAAAGATTTCACAGTGATTGAATCTTTCGAGTTTCTCTACTATAAGAAGCATTCAAAATAAAATTCCTGTAATCTGCCTTCTATCTCTACCACATGATTGAAATCATCTCCCTCCACTGTCACTGTGACCTACTTCTTACCAAATCTAACAATCCGTGGCCATCTTCATTCTCTTTCATCTTTCTGCAGGAACTGACTGGCTTGAAAACTGGCTCTTACCCTTAAAGTTTCTCTTCTCCCGGCTTTAGACATAGCACACTCTCCTGGATGGACCTTCTCTTATTTCTCGTAAGCCAGATCAAAGTGTCCAAGGGGATATGGCTTCATCCCAAGTGGAGCTGATAGCCAAGGATCCACAGGTTTGTGGATGAGGGTGGTTCATTGCAGTAAGCTCTGACTTTCATTATTTATCTTTAAAACTGCATATCCTGAGTAAGGAGAGAGGAGATCTCTGACTTGAAGGAGGACCTTAGTCAATAGTCCATTCATCAGTGAGAAGGGACTGAATATAGGCAAGGTAACAGGCTGGGGCTTCAGCCAGGTGGACTAAGAATAGGGTAATATCAGGGTAGCATTTCAACCCCAGAAGGGAAGTGAAGTGAGAAGTAGGAATTGGGACAGAAACCATGCATACAGACTGGGCACCTGGCAAGGCTGGTCTGATGACTGTGTAGAGGCCTGGGATTCTTACCTTTGGTGAATCAGATAAGCCAAGGTATTCTAGATGCTCTCTAACAGCTCCCCCTACACTCTTAACCCCCTTTTTTGGTGAGGGTGAAACTTCTGTTACCTCTCTTATCTTTCCAAGATTGACTCAGGTACTAAGTAGGACTGGTCATGCAGGTTGTTGATTTAGTACAAGTAAGTGTGTGGGACTCTCTGTATCTCTTGTCTCCTGTGCCTAGTCCTGGGTTGCCTATGTTCTTTTCCTTTGCTTTATGCTCCCTGTCAGGAAGCTCACCTCTCCTCTGCCTCCAACCTTGATGATTCACTTGGGTTCCGGTCTGATTTTTTTCGGTCCCTCCATTTAGATGTACCACCATCCTTAGTTCAGATTCATCATGCTTTATTGGCACTATCATTTCCCTGTTTCCTGGACCTGAAGCTTTGGAATCATCTTGAGCTTATTCTCCCTTATCTTTTTTTCTTCACTTGACTCATCATGTAATACTGGACTACTGAAGTAAAAACCGACTTAGTCTCTTCTCCCAATCTTTTCTATGTTGAATATAATATATATGGAAAATTTTTAGCCGGCGTGGTGACACACACCTGTAATCCCAGCTACTTGGGAGGCTGAGGCATGAGAATTGTTTGAACCAGGGAGATGGAGGTTGCAGTGAGCTGAGATTGCACCACTGCACTGCAGCCTGGGTGACAGAGTGAGACTGTCTCAAATTAATAATAATGATAATATATGAAAAATTAATAGGAAGATTTCTAAAAAAAATAGAAGGGCAAAGGCTGGGCACAGTGGCTCACGCCTGTAATCCAAGCACTTTGGAGGCCAAGGCGAGCAGATTCACCTGAGGTTGGGAGTTCAAGACCAGCCTGACCAACATGGTGAAACCCCTTCTTAAAAAAAAAAAAAAAAAATAGAAGGGCAAACGTTATATGAAATTCTTGGTTTCACTAGCTGCGAAACCAAGAATCATTATTTACCCAGACAGACACTCTGGGTTGTAGCAGCAACAATGCCCAATCAAAAGAATGAAAAACTGCCAGGCACTGTGCTACATGCCCATAATTCCAGCTACTTGGAAGGCTGAGATGGGAGGATCACTTGAGCCCAGGAGTTTGAGTCCAGCCTGGACAACATAGTGAGAATCCCATGAATAAAAGAAAAATTGCATAGAAAGATTAATAGAATTATAGAATGAAGAGGTTTCAGAGATCATGTGATTCAAACATTTTGTTACACAGCTTTAGGAAATAAAGGCATGTGGTACACAGTCTAGGTAATGAAGAGGAAGGCTGTTCATGAAAGTAGTCTCTCATGTACACAAGGACCAACAGGCAGCCTAAGCCAAACATCACAGGTTAGGTCTACAGACAGGACAGTCGTAATCACTCTTTCAGGATCACATACTACATTCTAAATTCTGTCTAGCCCTCGAGATCAAGGGGCCCTAAGTGAAAAAGTGTGAATTTATCACAGCTTCTGGTAAAACACTTACCAAAAAAATTATAGATAGATACTTATGTGTAGATATAAACATACATATATATCATTAGAGGTAAGATTATAGTCTTATTCTCTGAGAGAGAGATGATTATGGTATATTACTATAGCTGATTCAGAATATAATAATCTGTATTTCCTATTTGATATGTTTTAGATCTGTGTCCCTGCACATATCTCATGTCAAATTGTAATCCCCAGTGTCGGAGGTGGGGCCTGGTAGGAGGTGATCGTTCATGGGAGTGGTTTCTCATGAAGGATTTAGCACCATTTCATATCTTCTGATAGTCAGTTTTCGTGAGATCTTGTTGTTTAGAAGTGTGTAGCACCTCCTCCCTCGCTCTCTTTCTTGCTCCTGCTCCTGCCATGTAAGATGCCTCACTCCTTCTTTCCCTTCTGCCATAATTGGAAACTTCCTGGGCCTCTCTAGAAGCAGATGCTGCCATGCTTCCTGTACAGGCTGCAGAACCATGAGCCAATTAAACCTCTTTTCTTTATAAATTACCCCGTCTCAGGTATTTCTTTATAGCAATGTAAGAACAGACAAATAGCTGGGCGTGGTGGCTCAAGCCTGTAATCCCAGCACTTAGGGAGGCCGAGGCGGGTGGATCACGAGGTCAAGAGATCGAGACCATCCTGGTCAACATGGTGAAACCCCGTCTCTACTAAAAATACAAAAAATTAGCTGGGCATGGTGGTGCGTGCCTGTAATCCCAGCTAATCAGGAGGCTGAGGCAGGAGAATTGCGTGAACCCAGGAGGCGGAGGTTGCGGTGAGCCGAGATCGCGCCATTGCACTCCAGCCTGGGTAACAAGAGCGAAACTCCGTCTCAAAAAAAAAAAAAAAAAAGAACAGGCAAATATAATATTAGAAAAATGACAAAAAAGTATAGCCTTGAAAGTATACTGAGCTAGAATCAGTAACTTGGCTTCAAGTTTCAATTCAGTTGTTGCTTTGTAATCACGAGTAAGTCCTTCAACCAGTTTGCATTCCAATGTCTTAACCCATATAAGCACCATAATGGTATTGTAAACACCACAGTGTTATTATAGCTCATGAGCCCCAGACCTTGGGGTAGTCCTAAGGACCTCTAGGCACATTTGGAAAAGTGTGGCTTGGTAATCTATAAATCAAGTTCCCTGGACATATCGTCTTAGATCAGAGAGCTAAATGATGCCAAACAAGGAGGCCAGTGTACTACAGTGACAAGCTCCTGAGACCATGAGTACTGTATCGAAGGTTGCAAGCTACTCCAGCCTGATGTGCTCCTGAGACAGGGAAGCAGATTCATCTGGATTCCAACTGAGTTAGAGAACTATGCATCAGTTTGACTCATTACCAGGTAGACAATCTGAGCCCCAATACACACTTTTCAAGCAAACTGTCACTAATGAAAGCCAACTGTTTCATTACAGACAGTAAGAACTGCTTGTTTTATTTATTTATTTATTTATTTTTGAGACAGAGTCTTACTCTGTTGCCCAGGCTGGAGCACAAATGGTGTGATCTCGGCTCACTGCAGTCTCTGCCTCCCGGATTCTAGTGATTCTCCTGCCTCAGCCTCCAGAGTAGCTGGGATCACAGGAGTCCACCACTACACCTGGCTAATTTTTTTTTTTTTTTTTTTTTTTTGAGACGGAGTTTCGCTCTTGTTACCCAGGCTGGAGTGCAATGGCGCGATCTCGGCTCACCGCAACCTCCGCCTCCCGGGTTCAGGCAATTCTCCTGCCCCAGCCTCCTGAGTCGCTGGGATTACAGGCACACGCCACCATGCCCAGCTGATTTTTTGTATTTTTAGTAGAGACGGGGTTTCACCATGTTGACCAGGATGGTCTCGATCTCTTGACCTCGTGATCCACCCGCCTCGGCCTCCCAAAGTGCTGGGATTACAGGCTTGAGCCACCGCGCCCGGCTCACCTGGCTAATTTTTATATTTTTAGTAGAGATGTGATTTCAACATGTTGTTCATGCTGATCTTGAACTCCTGACCTCGGGTATCTACCTGCCTCAGCCTCCCAAAGTGCTAGGATTACAGGCGTGAGCCACTTTGCCCAGCCTAGATTGTTTTAGATTATAGCTATCATTGTTTGTGCTAGCTATATGCCAGATGATATGCTAAGTGCTTTATGTATATTATCTACTTTGAATGATAATACAGCCTATAAAAAGTGGGTGCTATTATTATTCCCACTTTATAGATGAGAAAACTGGAAGATTAGAGGAGTTAATTCGCCCAAACTCACACAATAGTTTGTAAATGTTGAGTATGTATTTAAACTAGTAGAAGGACTTTATTATGCCCATTCTCTAATATAGCTCCATCTCCACTTGAGAGGCAAGCTTTATCCATGAAACTCATACTTGGACTCTACAAGTGGGAGCAGTGAGCAGGTATTGGAGATTTAGAGACATGGTCTTGAGAAATCTAACATCCAATTGCTGTAATGCCAATAGCTTTGAATTTCAAAGAAGCTCAGCCAGAGCAAGGGGTAGTGGGTTCTTCCTTCGGACAGTTTTTCTCACTTATTAGGATGTGTTGAGCCAGGGATTGTTATGAGAATGAGACTGAGGTGAGACTTTTCAAATGGAGAACCTAGCCTGGCCCCTTTGCTACATTATCATCATCTGATCTTACTGCAGACTCAAGGACCACTCTCTGGCCCCATTCAGGATTGATGAGATTACAAATCTTATTTTCTTCTGCAGCATAGGTCACCCTGCTGGTCAGTAGCAGAGGAGGATATAAACACAGATCCATTGGACCAGGTGTGGTGGCACATGTTTTGAGACTCTTGTCTCAAAAAATAAAAATAAAAAAATAAAAAATCATCACAAATCTG